CAGCTTGTGTGGTTGGCTGTGAAGTAGGTGGATCAGATTTAGAGAAAAAAATGACGTAATTTAATTTGTCTAAAACATTTAAATAAGTCCACCTTTAGGCCGAATGCATTCACAGGGCTGTAGGGAACGAAAGATAAGCCCTTTGAAAGAAGCGACTTCTGTTGCTCCGACAGTGACTTGGATGATAAATTAATTACCGTGTCTGCTGGCGGCTGCGCGTCCATGGTCTCTGTGTGGCGGCCTGTGGAGCGCCTGCCCCTCCTGGTTTTCTTCTTCGTCCTGGTGGCGGATTCTTGCGTTGCGGTAAAAAAGAAGAATGACTTGGAGGGATCCCGGAGTCGCTGTCCAAAGTAAAATCACTTTCCAGACTGGAGTCGTAATTCCGTTGGTTGTCCCTCTGTCGGTGCGTAACGGTGGTGCCTCTTGTTGCGCGTAAAGGGCGCTGGGTCCGTGTCTGAGGGTTCTTTGTGTTCCTGATGGTCCCAGTGATAGACCTGATTTTTCATGTAGTCCTCGGTGTCACGTTTGTATTTCTTGAGTTTAATGCTTAGGAGTTTTTCTTTGTATTTTGTGACTGTTTCTTTTATTGTGTTATCAAAAGCTGGGTACGTGGCATGGAATATGTTTTTCTTCATGCATCATATATATGTATATATTGGTGATTTCCACTTTTTGAGTTTTTTTGACGTTTTGTGAAAGTTTTTTGGTCATCTGGTATAGTTGATTACATCCAGGGGCGTTGTCAGCCCCTCCCTATTTAAGATGGCTCCCAACCTCTATTTGTAAATTTTGCCTGAGGAAGGCCTGTGGCCGAAACGTTGCTAATAAACCACTGGTGTTTGCAAGTTTGGACAGTGTGCGGGTGTCATCCTTTCTTTCATGTTTGGCCACCTAGTGCGCGCCCACTCCTACGCACCTGTCAGAGAAGAGATGTGCGAAGTTTACCTCTTTTAACAATTTGGGCTTGTCCCATTCACTTCTGCACTTTTTTCCTTGCACACACGAGGTTTAGGACGCTTACCAAACCTCAAAATGAGCACATTCCAGGAAATCAACTCGTTGACGCACAATTACGCAGAGACTTTTGAATTCTCAAACGAGGATGCGCAGAGGATTTTACTTCCTGCTGTGGGCTTGGACGCCTTGGAATCGTGCGACGATCTAAAAATAAAGCTGGAAAGACTCCATCTGAAAGAAGCCCGCCTTGGTATGCATGGCTCTACATTAAGTGAATACTGGCGGAATAAAAAGATCCCTCGAGGCCTGCGCATACAAAAGGCGCCTACAATAGGCAAATCAGATGAGAACTTTTTGAAGAAATGGGGTGACATTCTCAACAAATGCTCCCTTGATCTGATGCTATTGATCATTGATCACGTAACCACCGAAGCAAAAGACGTCAGAGCCGAGATTGAAAAACAAGAGAATACCCTAAAAGAAAAATTCCATGCCACGTACCCAGCTTTTGATAACACAATAAAAGAAACAGTCACAAAATACAAAGAAAAACTCCTAAGCATTAAACTCAAGAAATACAAACGTGACACCGAGGACTACATGAAAAATGAGGTCTATCACTGGGACCATCAGGAACACGAAGAATCCTCGCAGACACGGACCCAGCGCCCTTTACGCGCAACAAGAGGCGCAACAAGAGGCACCACCGTTACGCACCGACAGAGGGACAACCAACGGAATTACGACTCCAGTCTGGAAAGTGATTTTACTTTGGATAGCGACTCCGGGATCCCTCCAAGTCACTCTCCTTTTTTACCGCAACGCAAGAATCCGCCACCAGGACGAAGAAGAAAACCAGGAGGGGCAGGCGCTCCGCAGGCCGCCACACAGAGACCGTGGACGCGCAGCCGCCAGCAGACACGGTAATCAACATATCATCCAAGTCACTGTCGGAGCAACAGAAGTCACTTCTTTCTAAGGGCTTATCTTTCGTTCCCTACAGTCCTGTGAATGCATTCGGCCTAAAAGTTGACTTATTTAAATGTTTTAGACAAATTAAATTACGTCATTTTTTCTCTAAATCTGGTCCATCCACTTCACAGCCGACCACACAAACTGTATTTAAAGCCAAAAGTGTTTTTTGTCCTAATACAACGAATGCTTCAATCAATACTTTTTGTAGAATGGTTGAACAGGACATTGAAAAGGGCGTTTATGAATCCCACACACGTACATATTCTAATTTGTCAAAAGACGAGAAAACAGCCCTAAAAGAATTAATGAATGATAAAGATATTGTGATTAAACCAGCGGACAAAGGGGGCGCTATCTGCATCCAAGACGTTAACAAATACAGACAGGAGATTTTATCTCAGCTGTCGGATGCCCGTGTCTATAAAAAACTTGAGCATGACCCCACGGTGCCCTTTCAGAAACAACTATTTGCATACCTCCAACAAGCAAAGTCTCAGAAATGGATTACTGAACAAGAATCTGATTTTCTCTACAATAAACATCCCATCTGCCCAGTTATATATTCGCTCCCTAAAATACATAAATCCTTGACCAATCCACCTGGGCGGCCCATTGTAGCACAGAATGACTCATTATGGTCTCCTCTTTCAACTTATGTGGACCACTTTATAAAACCATTAGTCCACAACCTTCCTGCCTATATAAGAGATTCTACAGACTTTCTAGAAAAGTGCTCCGACCTTAAAGATATACCTGTTAATGCCTTATTGCTGACATTGGACATCACTAGCCTCTATACCAACATTCCCCATGAAGGGGGTTTAGAGGCCATAAATTACTATCTACAGCAGAACAGCAGCAGTACAAGGCCTCCTGACCAAATCATCTTGGACTTTACTGAGTTTGTCATGAAATATAACTATTTCCGTTTTGAAAAGACATTCTATCTACAAATATCTGGGACAAGCATGGGCACCATTTGTGCCCCTAACTACGCCAATTTGTTTGTTGGTTTCTTTGAAAATAAATTTGTATTCAACAATGAAAAAAATCCATTTGCTCATAAAATTCTAAAATGGCTCAGATATATTGATGATGTGTTTTGTGTCTTCAATGGTACTTCCCAAGAACTGACGGATTTTGTCAAATTACTTAATAGCTGGATACCAAGTTTGATCTTTACTCCACAGTATAGTACTGTACAAGTCAGTTTCTTAGATATGGTAGTGCTTAAATCCAATGGCACCATAATAACATCACTTTACAGGAAGGAGACGGACAGAAACACTTTGATGTTGGCCTCAAGTTTTCATCCTACCCCTCTTAAAAAGAGTTTACCAATCAGTCAATTTTACAGACTCAGACGGATATGTCACTCTGAGGAGGACTTCGTTGAACAGGCCAGAGACATGAAAAACAGGTTCAAACAAAGAGGATATCCCACTACATGGATAGAAAATGCTTATGAACTGGCTTTAAAAAAAACACGAGCAGAATTTTTAAAAAAAACTGTTAAAAAGAAAAAGCAATTTTCTATCACTTGTATCTCCCAGTATTCTCCCCACTCTGCAACCATTAAAACTATGTTCAGAAAACACTGGCACATACTCACATCGGATCCTGAACTGGCCACTATCTTCAAGTTCCCTCCCCTTTTTGTGAACAGGAGGGGCAAGAACCTTAGAGACCACCTTGTCCGGGCCAGTTTCACCACCCTAGCGCCATCCACTCAGACCCTCCTGACGCCGATTCCTAATGGGAACTATCGTTGTGGTGGTTGTGCCCAGTGCAATAACACTCACAAAACCAGCTTTTTTCTACACCCGCACAGTGGTAAGAGTATACCCATCAAAAGCATTATAACATGTGCATCCACTCATGTCATCTATTTACTGCGTTGTCCTTGTGGTTTGGCCTATGTAGGCAAAACCACAAGAAAATTAAAACAAAGAATAAGTGAACATAAAAGTTCTATCCGCAGGAATGACAGGGAATATCCTGTAGCTGTACATTTTAATGATGCTAATCATGATGTGAGTGCCCTTCGTTTCTATGGGATAGAGCATGTTCCTCTTCCTGTGAGGGGGGGTAACCATGATAAGCTTCTCAAACAGAGAGAGGCTTTTTGGATACACAAACTGCAAACCCTCACACCAAAAGGCCTGAACGATGAGCTTGTCTTGAATGTCTTTTTGTAAATAGACTGCCGTGTGTCACATTGTAAGAATACACATTTTAGAATACATGTAGGAATGTATGTATTAGGACAGCCATTTCTTGATCAGCTGTCCTGTATGTCTGCTTCCATATGTTTTTCTTCATGCATCATGTATATATGTATATATTGGTGATTTCCACTTTTTGAGTTTTTTTGACGTTTTGTGAAAGTTTTTTGGTCATCTGGTATAGTTGATTACATCCAGGGGCGTTGTCAGCCCCTCCCTATTTAAGATGGCTCCCAACCTCTATTTGTAAATTTTGCCTGAGGAAGGCCTGTGGCCGAAACGTTGCTAATAAACCACTGGTGTTTGCAAGTTTGGACAGTGTGCGGGTGTCATCCTTTCTTTCATGTTTGGCCACCTAGTGCGCGCCCACTCCTACGCACCTGTCAGAGAAGAGATGTGCGAAGTTTACCTCTTTTAGCTGCATAAATCTGAAATGCTGTCTCTGCATGTTTAGTCCTCACTATGGGACCAGAAGTAGGCCAGTCCCTGTGCTCCTCACAGTCCCAGCAGGATGACTACATGTCAGGAGTAGCTGTGTCTCTGTTTGAATATAAAAGACTAAATTTGGAAGTATTTCTTAATCTGTTATTACTACGTCTCTGTTTTTGTACAGTAGTAGTTCAGCACAGTGGTATGGAGTGGAAAGGGTCAATATGAACATACCCTCGCTAGAGCCAGTTTTCTGCGCTAGCTTTGCACAGTAAAACAGGGGCTGATGTGTTGCTAAGACGGTTGCTAAGACAAGCTGGAATTTCCCCGTGATTGAAGGCCTTTGATTGGTCAGTCCTTATATCCTCAATCCCAAAATGGTGAGTGTGACACAAAGAGTTACTGAGCTAGAGTTTACTTTCCTCCCGATTGGAAGAAAACAGAGGTGTTGCATCTCACCAGGTCCAGGGTGGTCCTCTCCAACACGTCCACCAGTTTCTCCAGTTTGGTGTTTGAGCTGAAGATGAAGTCGTCATCCACCCACAGGACGTACTTAGTGGTCACTTGAGACACGGCCAAGTTCCTCCCAGCGAACCAGCCCTGGAATGTACAGATCATCAGTGACCAGGGAGGAGACAAAGCACCATTCATGTCTTCTTCTGGCTTGGACAGATTTAGATCGAAGCCCTGTTTGCATCTACTCTGTACTGTACAATTCTGATCTCACCTCTCTGGCCTCTCTCTCTGGTCTCTCTCTCTGGTCTCTCTCTCTGGTCTCTCTCTCTGGTCTCTCTCTCTGGTCTCTCTCTGGTCTCTCTCTGATCTCTCTCTGATCTCTCTCTGATCTCACTCTATGGTCTCTCTCTGAAGTCTATATCTGGTCTCTCTCTGGTCTCTCTCTCTGGTCTCTCACTGTTCTCTGTCTCTGGTCTCACTCTCTGGTCTCACTCTCTGGTCTCACTCTCTGGTCTCACTCTCTGGTCTCAATCTCTGGTCTCAATCTCTGGTCTCAATCTCTGGTCTCACTCTCTGGTCTCACTCTCTGGTCTCAATCTCTGGTCTCAATCTCTGGTCCCAATCTCTGGTCTCAATCTCTGGTCTCAATCTCTGGTCTCAATCTCTGGTCTCAATCTCTGGTCTCTCTCTGGTTTTTCTCTCTGGTCTCACTCTATGGTCTCTGTCTGGTCTCTCTCTCTAGTCTCTCTCTCTCTGGTCTCTCTCTCTGTCTCTCTCTGGTCTCTCCTCACCTTTCCGAAGGGCATGATGTAATGCTCGATGAAGGGTCCGGATATGCTCTGAGGATTCTCGCTGTCGTCTGCGATCACTATGGTAACTGTGGGGTAGAACTTCCGAATGCTGTCAATCAAATCCTGAAGTTTATCGTACCGAAGGAATGTCTTTGTGGCTATTGTCACCAGAGCACTCACGTTGTACTCTGCATAGAGACAACAGCTTTAACAACTTTAACATCTCTAACACATTAAACATAAAGTTAGTTCTTCTGTAACACATCACTGTCTGAATACAAGAACCAGATCACTTAATTCTACTGAAAAGACAGGATGAAGTTTCCCAAAACGAAAAATCTTCAATCCTCTTTGGTCTTTCTTTCTCTGGTCTCTCTCTCCTGTCTCTCTATGGTCTCTCTCTAGTCTCTCTCTCTCTGGTCTCTCTCTTTTCTGGTCTCTCAATGGTCTCTCTCACCTTGTGAAGATCCAGTGTTGTATAGTTTGGGGGTGGTGCTGTGTCGGATCTTGATGATGAATGAGGCCTGATGTCGGTCTGTTTCAAATTGAACTGAAGGAGATGAAAAAAAAATAACAAAAATGTGAAACATTTGCTTTTGAAAATTGAGAAATACTGTGACACGACCTCAATGTCTCACGTCTGTGCAATAATGTGTAATAATCAGGGTAATAGTTTATTCAGACAGCAACCTTTGTCACACGTGTGTGCTTCTGAGAAACACTGATCTTATTTCAATTCAATTAAATGAATTTGTGTCTCGCCCTAAATCACATCAGCAGTCGTCTCTGAGGACTTACAAAGTTGTGGATTCACCAACAACAGATAAAAGAAGCAAAAAGTTCAAACATAGGAAATGCAATAGTAACAAAAGTACATAGAGCCGTTGGTCTGCTGCTATCTCATTTGTTTGAAGAGTTTATTAAAGTGTTAGTTTGGAACTCTAAATGAATTACAAATTTTAAGAATTGTATTAAATTGACCTCTTGGCCTTAAATGTTGATATAAAATATTCTACGGGTAAGTCCCGCCATGGAAGAGAACAGAGAAAAACCAGAGAATGAACCGAGGAAACACTCAGCTCAAGAGCAGAAGATGCCCATTTTACGTGTCCCTTCTACCTCCGATAACTCCATTGTTGACACTGGTTGTTTTCTGTCTCCTCTCTGCACACCTCGCCTCGCCTTTTTTTTTTTCAAATCATGTACCTCTCTCTCTTTTTTTCTAACTGGCATTTTAAAAAATCTAGCAGTATTAGCCTAGCAGACACCACTAACAACAACCAACAACAACAGAAGGATGGACAAGGAGTTTATAATCGCGGTGAACTCAAGACAAATCAGCACACCCTGATGCACTGGGGCTTCATCACTCTCTGAAACAATGCTGTTAACAGTTTTTTATTAAAAACTGAAGCAGGACTTAAAAAAACTCAAAGACCACAACAACCGGAGCGGTTCCAATCATCAAATAAATAAATGATATGGTCAGCTCGACGTCATCCTGGGACCCTTAGCCTATTGTTGGCTAATAATGTAGCCCAGCAAGAAGACCGGCCTGTTTGCTTGTGTGTTTGGGCTGAAAACTATGCACGTTTCTCATGTGAGGCCATGTTTTTCTGTTTTAGCACAACACCTGGACACCACACAGGTCTCGTTTATGGAGCCACCCTCCTGGAGCGACCTTGGAAGTCAATAGGAGCCAGAGGGAGGAGCCACATTTCACCATGTACGCTGATTGGTCGGAACGCTCACATGTTCCTCTGGTTCTGCAGCAGTGGAACCACTGCACCTACTGCACAGGACCAGGAGAACCAGAGTCAGAACACCTCACTGCTGATTTTTGGGACGTCCATGATACCAGCATGAACCAACGAGACCAGGTCATTAATCTGAATGGGCAGACATCTTGGAAAGACCAGGGGCAGACGTCTTGGAGAGACCAGAGGTAGACATTATTGAGACCAAGGGCAGTTTGTAAACTCCTCCGAGATAACTACTGTTGTGATTTAGTACTATACAAAAATAAATTGAATTGAACTTGACAATCCCATATGCAAAAAGCAGCACCTAGTTTTCCTATGATCTTACAGCAGTATTTAAAGGGGAGGTCATGTCACCTGTGGCAGTATTTAAAGAGTATTTAAGACAGTCTTTAAATCTGTATTTAACAAGTATTTAAAGGGGAGGCGTCACCTGTGTCAGCTGTACTGGGATGGAACTGTGTGTTTGTGTACGTCACAAACTGCAACTGTCGATTTAGGCTGTTGAGGGCGGAGCTTGTGATGGTCATGTGACTATCGCCGTCTCCTCTCAGTCTCACGGCCTCCACCTCCGCCGCCACGTTCAGAGTCCCAAGGCCAGCCGTCAGGTTCACCTGTACACACCAAAGGAAGTCAAGGCTTAGAAGGTACTTTTAATAAGACAAAGATCAGTAACTGACAGTAACTTGTTTGTTCTCCGGGAAAATGTGATTAATGGACACATGTTTTGTGTAGCCACAGCTGCCCTGGGGCACACTGACAGAAGAGAGGCAACCAATCTGTGCCATTGGCCCCTCCCACCACCACAAATCATACACACACAGACTCATTATGATGTGGGTAATGTGTCTAGCCTAAGGACACAACCACAGTTTGACACTTTACTGCAGGAGAACATGGACCAGTGGACTCACTCCTTCACTGCATCCAACAGATCAGTGAGTGAATGCAAAACAACTTCCTTCAGCTAAACACAGACATAACCGGGATGATTTTTTTTTTTGCCTCAAAAACAAAGAGAGTGACTTGTGTCACCTCCTGTCCCTCTCCCTAAAACCTTATAATCAGTCATAAATCTAGGGGTAATACTGGACTCAGACTTAAATTTTCATAGCTGCACAAAATCAGTAACATCAGCCGCTTTTTATCACCTAAAAAACATTGCCAGGATCAAAAACATAGTGTCTAAAATTCCCCACAGAAATTTCCCCACTGTGGGACGAATGAAGGATCTCTTAATCTAAAGCAGACTTGGAGATTCTTATCCATGCATTTGTCTCCAGTAGGTTAGACTACTGCAATGGCCTGCTCACAGGTCTGTCCAAACAGGCTGTAAAACAGCTGCAGTACATTCAAAATGCAGCAGCTCGAGTCCTGACTAGAACCAGGAAGTACGACCATATTAGTCCAGTTCTCAGGTCTCTACACTGGCTTCCTGTGGCTCAGAGAATAGACTTTAAAACAGCTCTGCTTAGTCTCCATTCTTAGTGAGGGAAGAATGGAGCGTGAAGAATGGAGCGTGAGATTGACAGGCGGATCGGTGCAGCGTGCGCAGTGATGCGGTCGTTGTATCGGACCGTTGTGGTAAAGAGGGAGCTGAGCCGAAAGGCAAAGCTCTCAATTTACCGGTCAATCTTCGTTCCCTCCCTCACCTATGGTCATGAGCTTTGGGTAATGACCGAAAGAACGAGATCGCGGATACAAGCGGTCGAAATGAGCTTCCTCCGCAGAGTGGCTGGGCGCTCCCTTAGAGATAGGGTGAGGAGCTCAGTCACACGGGAGGAGCTCGGAGTAGAGCCGCTGCTTCTCCACGTCGAGAGGAACCAGTTGAGGTGGCTCGGGCATCTGTTCAGGATGCCTCCTGGACGCCTCCCAAGGGACGTGTTCCGGGCACGTCCCACCGGGAGGAGGCCCCGGGGAAGACCCAGGACACGCTGGAGGGACTATGTCTCTCAGCTGACCTGGGAACGCCTTGGGGTCCCCCCGGACGAGCTGGAGGAAGTGTGTGTGGATAGGGAAGTCTGGGCGTCTCTGCTTAGACTGCTGCCCCCGCGACCCGACAACGGATAAAGCGGAAGAAAATGGATGGATGGATGGATGCTTAGTCTCTCCATAGCCTCGCACCAAAATACAATAGTCCCATATTAGTCCCATATGAACCAGCCTGGACTCTGAGGAGCACAGGGACGGGCTACTGCCCAGAGTGAGAACTAAACATGGGGAGGCTGAACCCATAAAATAAGACTGGAAGAGACTTGATTAAAGAAGAAATAGGGAACTGGAAATTAAGAGTGATTCTACTAGGCTTGTCACATTTTGGTTCTGCCTTTATTTCCTTTGTTTCCTTTTAAAGGAAAAATTATAAACTAAATTTCAGATTCTTGCTGCTAAAATCTGGAAAAAATCTTCCTGAATATGTGAACAGGCCTCTTCTCAGTCAATGTTCAAATCCAGGTTAAAAACAGTTCTGTTTAGCTGTGCATACAACTTATTTTGATTATTTGTGATTTTAATGCCTTGTGTGACTGTTTCTATCTTGTTCTGTTCAGCTCTTTGTGTTTCTTTGTGCATTAATTGTGCTATAGAAATAAACTTACCTTGCCTTCACAGCCGCAGCTGCCCTACTGTGGCACCTGGTGTTCAGAGGTCTCCCATCATAGTGCTAACCTTGCTTAGCTTCAGGTATGGTTGAAAAGAGCAGGATAATCACACTTACTGTATAGAGGTCTCTGGGGCTGTCGTGCAGTGCCAGACCTGAGAGAAAATCATTTGATTTTTGATTATTATTATTATTATTATTATTATTATTATTATTTTCTGGTAGTGACCTGGGATGATGATGGTCTTGAGTGGCCGCACCTCCACTCCCTGTGTGGGGAACTGCAGTGGACTGTTGGCCTCAGCGATAAGGAGCAGGTCAGCTGCCGTCTGAGCTCTGCACCAAACACACAACAACAGTCAGTAACAAGTGACATTGTTTATTCATCATTTTAATCTTTTTTTTCTGGCCTCTCTCTCTGGTCTCTTTCTGGTCTCTCTCTAGTCTTTCTCTGGAGTTTCTCTGGTCTTTCTCTGGTCTTTCTCTGGTCTTTCTCTGGTCTCTCGCTGGTCTCTCTCTCTGGTCTCTCTGTTCTCTCTCTGGTCTCTCTGTTCTCTCTCTGGTCTCTCTCTCTGATCTCTCTTTCTGGTGCCTCGCTCTGATCTCTGTATCTGGTCTCTCACTGGTTTCTTTCTGGACTCTTTCTAGCCACTCTCTCTGGTCTCACCTCCTCTGGTAGCTCTCGAACTCGTGGGCACGCCTCCTTTTGAGCTCCTCCAGCTCTGAGGGTCTGAATGAGGTGTGAAGGGAGTGAGCGGAGACTCTGGGAAACAGCAGCTGAGAGAAAGGCAGGTTCAGGCCTCCACTGTCTCCTTCACATACACAGCTGTTCCGGGACAAGAGCCTGAGGACGAGAGAGACATATTGCAGCAGACACAGAAAGAGAGAGACCAGTGAGAGACCCAAAGAGAGACCAGAGAGGGACCAGAGACAGAGAAGAGAGAGACTAGAGAGGGACCAGAGAGAGAGAGCTGAGAGACCACAGAGAAAGAAGAGAGAGAAAGCAGAGAGACCAGAGAGAGGTGCTCTGTCTGAACAAAAGCTGTGATGTTCCTGCACTTGTATTGAAACCGTTTTATTGATTGATTTACACAGTAACATTTGTTTCTTGTCCTTTTTAGCTTGTGTAACATTTGTATCTGGTGCAGACTGGGGACATGTGTTCCACTGTGGTTATGTATCTACAGTAAGCCTCCAGACCCAGGTCTCACCCAGCCACAGAGTCCCGGACACGGATGGGGATGGCGCTGAGATGGTGGTCGTTGAACCTGTCATCCTGGTGCAGGGCACCGCGCCGCTGCCACACGTCCACCGTGGAGTAACCACGAGAGGGCCAGGAGTGCAGGAGAGCGAGGACCAGCACCACCGACACCAGCACAGCACCAGCAGCACCGGTCTTCCTCAGGGACCGCATCCTCAAACCTGCACAACAATCAACTCAATGTATTTGTGTATCGCCCTGTCGTCTCAGAGGACATTACAACATTGTTGATTCATGGAAAACAGATGAGACAATCAAGGAGTTCAAACACAGGAAATGTTTAAATAACAAACACTTAGCGGGGAGGGGCACATTGTGGTTGATTTTTTTTATTGGATTTATCAAAAATCTACTCCAGTATCAAAACATAAAAAATTACATATATTTGCATATATGTATTTAACATATTCCTGTTTTTATTTCTATTAGTATTATTAATAACATTTTGGATTCATGAATGAGAACAGAATACATGTACAACCTAGCCTGGTCTTACCACACCATCTCATTTCATTTCGTACTTGGGTCTGGATTTGCTCAATTGAGCTTCGTTAACAGGAGAGGTTTACGGTGTGACATCATTGAGGCATTTAGCCTAGCTTTAGCCATCTCCTTTACTAACAGAGCCCATGGGGAGTAGAGCCACAACATCTTTGCCAGCAATGAAACGTGCAAAACATTCCTCTTTCTTCGGCCATAGTGTTAAATGTAATGTGAATGAGGACGTGTTAAATTAATGAACAGGATTTGAATTGATTGATGAGCAGTTGGTTCCCTCTCTGGTCTCTCTCTCTCTTTGGTTCCCTCTCTGATCTCTCTCTCTCTGATCTCTGTGAATATTTTTTAAGGGTTGGTCTTTGTTCTATGACGCTTTTTACTGACATCTCCACACTGTGAGCACGAGAATTAAGCTCACCCTTTTTCCCCAAATGTCTAACGAAGGTGAACATGGAAGAATCTCTCTCCCTCTCTTTTAGCATTGTGTTTTAAAATAGAGACTTAGAGACATATAGAGACACAAAACTGGTGATGATTTTGGGTAATCTCTGTCTTGCAATGTTTGCAGCCCTTCTTTCGCACTGATAAGAGCCAGAGTCTCCCTGTATTCTGGGGGGAAGTGGCCCAAGAAGTGACAAAAACCCACACAACTCCATTTTGAAAGTCTTTCTGAAAGAAAGTTGCCTGGTAAGAACATCTCCATACTCTCTCGTCCTCCAAATGAAAATGGATGGATTAACTATTAACAATTGTGGACTACACGCAGAAAATTAAGCTCAAACCGCATAAAAATACAGTTCCTTGGATCAACACGGACATAATACTGTGGGAAAGTGAACTTTTAATAAGGAATTTTAACTGCTTTTATTTTTGTGATGTGTTTTGTGTGTTTTTTATGGTTTTATTGCATGCATTTGAATCAGTTCCTTGGACACTTTCGCCTAATCACCCACACTTGTTTTTAATCAACAAGACCTGAAATTGGGGGCAGGCACTGGAGCACAAAAAGGAGTGCGAACAGAGAGACAGGGACAGCACGAGAGGAGGAAGACGAGACCGGACCGGGCCAAACGCCGTCAGCCAGAGACCACGGGGGACTGAGGCCAGCGGGGAGAGCAGCACCGGTGAGGGGGCGCGGGCGCGCCCGGGCTAGGCCCACGGACAACCGGGATGTGCCGGCTCTCCCCCGCGAGTGCCCGGTGGCGACCCGTGGTCGGCGAGAGGCTGGCGGGACTGCGGCCCGGTCCCGGGACAGAGGAAAGGAGCGGGGGCCAGCGGGGATGGACGAGTGACTTTGGGTTTTTATAATCTTTTAAATGAATCTTTTTGTAAATATTTTATGAAAATGTAATCCCCTTTTTACCCCTTCTGCCTTTTATTGATCACACCCCCTCAACAGAGTCTTTTAAACCTGTGACAATAGAGCGAGACCAGGCTTTTAAAAAAGCTGTGAAATCTAAATCTACCCATGATCGTGGTCTATTTGCTATGTTTTGAAATAAGGTAGTTAGGTCAATCAGGAAAGCTAAAGCTAATTTTTTCCTTACCATAATACAAGGGGCAAATGGTAACTCCAAAGCTATTTGGGATCAATTGAAGAAAATTACAGGACATCGAGCCAAAGAGAACAAAAAATTGGAAATCAAAATTAATGTCAGTCTCTCAAGTGAGCCCTCCGCTGTGGCTGAAGCATTCAACCTTTACTTTGTTGACTCGGTTGCTAATATAGCGCAAGGTTTTGTTCAATCACCTCACTCACCTACAGCCAATACAGACCCACCTGTTCTCAGCCTTACTTCCATCTCGGAGACAGATGTTACACAGACCATAAAATCACTTAGATCATCCAGATGCAAAGACATATTGGGCATGAACGCAGTCATATTAAAGGACATCTCCACTTCTATCACAACCCCCATCACCAAACTCATGAATATGTCATATGTAATGGACAATTACAGACCTATCAGCATCCTACCTTCAGTCTCTAAAATAACAGAAAAATTAGTTGCAGAACAAATATCCCCACACCTTAACCTGAACAGAACAAACATCCCTACACCTTAACACCACACGCTACAGTCTCCACCCAAAGCAGTTTGGCTTCAGAGCCCATCATTCCACTGAAACAGCCACCTGCTACTTCACAGAGAACATCA